GGGAGACCAGAGGAGACAGCCCAATGCCACAGAATTCACACCCATCCCTTGGAACCCACAAATTATGTCCATTATTTTGACAATGTATTTTGGAGACATCTTCCCAAACCACTTCTCCCTAAAGTTTGAAGCTACTTGTGTGCATGATGGTTTTGTGCAAAGGCCCAGGTGGGCCCAATGTTATTAACATTGTCATAAACACAGCTTTCACAAATCCCAGGGCAAAAGCAGAGATGGCATCGGTGGCTCCAAATCAGACCTCCTCCACCTCCCACTATGGGAGGGACATCAGGGTATGAAACCCCTCTGTGCCTCAGTCTCCCCTTACTAAATGCCCAGGAATCGGGCTGTGAAGATTAAACACATGCAGAGTTCCTAGCATAGGGCGTGGCACACAATTAGGGTTCAGTAAACACTGGCTACTCAGCCACTACTGCCAAGACTATTCTCATTTAGCCCAGATCACAGAACCTGTGATCTGTGGGGCACGGCAGAGGTGGATCCTCCAGTCTTGGCTTCCACCCCCCCTCCACCCACTCAGTGAACCATCTTTGCCTTTGCTCTTTGTGCCAAGCCCATGATTCCAGGTTCTAATGTCTCAAAGCTTTGCAGGGCTGAGAAACATTTGCCTACAGAAACCAGGCATGCCTCTGAGAGCCTTCTCCATGCTCCCAAAAGGCCAGTCTCCTGGCACACAGGGAAGAACAGAACAAACATGCTCATTTTCTGTTGCTGCCTTGGGGGCTTCCTTCTGAGAACCGGTTTCCTTCTGGCACCACAGACAATGAACAACCTGAGGCCATAGGCCATGGGCAGATTGCCATAAAGGAGGTTCAGGGGACCTTACCCATCCTGAGATGTGTCAGTGGCTCCCACAATGGAGGGACAGGGTCCCTATGTTCTCACTGCTTAGAGGCTTACCCAGGAGACAGGGCACTGGAAGGATCTGGACTTCCTGGATGGGAGATCTGAAGGGCCCCACGTAGGCCATGTCCCAGGCTCCCATGCCTAGGCAAGGCAGGCCTGAGTGGCCCTCAGCACTACCTGAGCAGGTGCACAGCCCTGATCTCCAGGCTCTCCTCGCAGCCCTTCTCCCACCCTGCTCCCAAGCCATCCTTGACCCTAGCCTGAGAGCCCATTCTATTTCCCTACCATGATGATTTGTAGAAACCCAGTTCCTCTCTGGCTCTCAGCTGGATGTGGCACTGTAAAAGAGACAAGATGCGGTCTTTTGTTCACTGCTACATCCTCAGCACACAGCCCTATGCCTGGCACCTGGTAGGTACATAACTATCGTTTTTCAGATAAATGAACAGAGGTGGCAATCATATCTGCCTCATGCTGTCATGGTAAATATTAAAGAAGGTGATGGGTGGATAGTACCTCATGTGGCATCTGACACACAGTGAGCATGTCACACTGGCAGCTGGTAATGGTGGCTGCTCAGCTCCCTAACACTGGGAGCTGTGCACCCTGCTTGGAGGCCATGCTTGGGTCCCCTGCTCTGCACAGGAAGTGCCTTCCTGCTCGTTCCACCATCCTTCGGCAAAACCACTACCAGGAAAGATGCAGAAAACTCTTTCCCAGAGAGGAGGAATGGGATTTGAGGCTCATGGTGAGAGATGGCTACATCACACACCAAGAAGTGAAGCTCTAACAGGAAAGGGAAGGGCTGAAGGGCAAGCAAGGGCCAGGTAAAGCCAGGAGTGGGGTCCTCAGGAGCAAGGCCTTGCCGCTGCACTTCCTGGTGTGTGGGACACATGAGGACCACGTGAGGTCAGGACTCTGGGCTTTTGGGTGGGACATACTTGCATATGAGTCCCAACTCAGCTGGGGCTAGCTTCATGGGGATGAGACCAGTGTGTTCACACAGGCACCGTGTTTAGCTTAATGCTGTGCTGTTGCCATTGTAAAATATGGCATAATTTTTTAATAAGGGGCTCTAGCATTTTGCTCTGAGTACTACAAATCACAGAGCTGGTTCTCACTCACCAGTTGCTAATCACGTGTTCTTGAGTAAGTATCTTAACCTCTGGGAGCCTGTTTTCTCATCTGTAAAATGGAGATAACAGCATCTGCCTCACAGAATTGTTATAAGATGAATTATGAGAACATATGCAAAGGTCCTAGCGAGTACCTGGCACATATCAAATTCTTAATCAATGACAGTTACTGCTTCAGATTAAATAGTAATAAAAGCATGCCTTGCTTTATTGTACTTCATTTCACTTCACAGATATTTCCTTTTTTACAAATTGGAGCTTTGTGGTCACCTTGAGTCCAGCAAGCTTATCGGCACCATTTCTCTAACAGCATGTGCACACTTTGCATTCTGTCATGTTTCGGTAGTTCTCACAATATTTTCAACTTTGTCGTAATCATTATATCTGTTATGATGATGTGTGGTCTTTGATGTTACTAATGTCATTGTTTTGGGGCACAACAAGCTCCGTGCATATAAGAGTCAGCTTAATCATGGGCATTCTGACTGCTCCACTGACAAGCCAGCCATTCCCTCTCTCTCTCCCTCTCCTCAGACTGCCCTGGTCTCAGAGACAACAATATTGAAATTAGGCCAATTCATAATCCTATCATGGCCTCTAAGTGTTCAAGTAAAAGGAAGACTCATGGGTGTCTCTCTTTAAATCAAAGACTAGAAAACATTAAGCTTAGTGAGGAAGGCAGGTTGAAAGCTACGACAGGCCAAAAGCTAGGCCTCTTTTACGTGACAGTCAGCCAAGTTGTGAATGCAAAGGAAAAATGCTCGAAGAAAATTAAAAGCACTACTCCAATGAACATACAAATAATCAGATAGTCAAATATCCTTATTACTGTTACGAAGAAAGTTTGAGTAGTCACGATAGAACATCGAATCAGTCCCAATTTCCCATAAGCCAAAGCCTAATCCAGAGCAAGGGCCTAACTCTCCTCAATTCTCTGAAGGTGCAGAGAAGTGAGAAAGCTGCAGAAGAAAAGTTAGAAGCTGGCAGTGGTTGGTTCATGAGGTTTAAGGAGAGAAGCCATCTCCATAACATAAAAGTACGAGCTGAAGCAGCAAGTAAGTGCTGATGCAGACACTGCCGCAAGTTAACCAGAAGATCTAGCCAAGAGAATTGATAAAGGTGACTATATTCAACAACAGGTTTTCAATGTAGACAAACAGGCTTCTATTGGAAAAAGATGACATCAAGACTTTCATAGCTGGAGAGGAGGCATCAATGCCTGGTTTCAAAGCTTCAAAGACCAGGCGGCCTCTCTTGTTGGGGACTAATTTAGCTGGTGACTTTAAGTTGAAGCCAATGCTCACGTACCATTATGAAAGTCCTAGGGCCTCTAAGAATGATGATCAGTCTGCTCTGCATGGTCTAGAAAAGGAACAACAAAGCCTGGATGACAGCACATCCGTTTACAGCATGGTTTGCTGAGTATTTTAGGCCTGCTGTTGAGACCTACTGCTCAGAAAAGAAGATTCCTTTCAAAATGTTACACACATTGACAATGCACCTGATTACCCAAGTGTTCTGGTAGAGAAGCACAAGGAGGTGAATGTTGTTTCCAGGCCTGCTAACACAGCATCCATTCTACAGCCCATGGATCAAGGAGGGATTTTGACTTCCAAGTCTTATTATTTAAGAAATATATTTCTTAAGGCTATAGTTGCCATAGATAGTGATTTTTCTGATGTATTTGAACCAAGTAAATTTAAAAGCCTTCTGGAAAGGACTCACCATTCTAGATGCTCTTAAGAGCATTTGGGGTTCATGGGAGGAGGTCAAAATAGCAATGTGACTGGAGTTTGGAAGAAGTTGACTCCACCCCTCACAGATGATTTTGAGGGCTTCAAGACTTCAGCGGAAGAAGGAATGCAGATGTGGTGGAAAAAGCAAGAGAACTCAAATGAGAAGTAAAGGCTGATGATGGGGCTGAATGCTGCAATCTCATGATAATATTTAAACAGATGAAGAGTTTCTGTGGCCATTGTAAAATATGGTATGAATTTTGAACAAGGGGCCCTAGCATTTTGCACTGGGGACTGCAAATCGCAGAGCTGGCTCTCACTCACCAGTTGCTAGTCGTGTCTTCCTAAGCAAGTATCTTAACCTCTGGGAGGCTGTTTTCTCATCTGTAAAATGGAGATAACAGCACCTGCCTCACAGAATCATTACAAGATGAATTATGAGAACATATGCAAAGGTCCTAGCGGGTACCTGGCACATATCAAATGCTTAATCAATGACAATTACTGCTTCAGATTAAATAGTAATAAAAGCACACCTTGGATGAAAAAAATCATTACTGAGACGGAATCTACTAGTGGTAAAGATTCTGTGAACATTGTTAAAATGACAAGGATTTAGAATATTCCATCAACTTAGCTGATAAAGAAGCAGCAGGGTTTGAGAGGATTGACTCCAATTTTGAAAGAATTTCTACTGTGGGTAAAATGCCATCAAACAGCATCTCATGCTACGGAGAAATCTTTTGTGAAAGGAAGAGTCGATGGATGTGGCAAACTTCATAGTTGTCTTCTTTTAATAAATTGCCACAGTCCACTCCAACCTTCAGCAACCACAACCCCGAACAGTCAGCAGCCATCAACATGGAGGCAAGACCCTCCACCAGCAGAAAGATTACAACTGGCTGAACCCTCAGATAATGGTCAGTAACTTTTAGCACTGAAGTATTTTTAAATTAAAGTATATATATTTTTAAGCATAATGCCATTGCACACTTTGACTATAGTATAGCCTAAACGTAACTTGAAATGCATTGGAAAACCAAAATGTTCCTATGACTTTTACTGTGATATTTGTTTTAATGTAGTGGTCTGGAACTGAACCCACCTCTCCGAGGTATGCCTGTAATTAGGGACTACTACATGACAAGGTAGATGCCTTGCTCAATAAAAGGATTTTAACAACCATGTCTGTCCCAGATGCCACAAACCAGGAAAGAGCCACAGGTCCCAGACACAAGCCTCTGTTCCCCTGGCTGCTTACCGTCACGAAATGGTTGTGTCTGCAACTGCAGTCGGATCTTGATGAGGTCCACGGGCCCGCCCACACCGACAGAGACCACGCCGGCCACTATGCTGGCCAGAAGCAGGTCCGACAGCGTGCGGGGAGGACTGGCCTCGGGCTCCTGGCAGCGGTGCTGGCTGAGGAACCGCTGCGTGTTACTGAAGACCCCAAATACCACAGAGTTGTAGACAGCAATGCTGGCAAGGGGGAAGGACATGCCCTTGAAGAAGCCGAACACCTGCAGTGAAACCCAGTAGGAAGAGGCGTGAGGACTGGAGGCTGCTGTCGCAGAGCCTGCAGGCTGGCGGGGGACACCACAGGACACATCTGTCCATGTATCAGTGAAGAGATGGAAAGGTGCTGATGCGACAGTTGGCAGGGGGTTGGGGGCTGCTTGGGGCAGGCATTCTTGTCCCGAGGACAGCCTGGCTTCTGCAGGCTGCTTTGTTTCCTGTGGGTGGTGTCCTGGCCTGGAACCCACACATGGCATGCATGTGGCAGGAGGGGCAGTGATCTTGGGCTAGAAAGAAGTCAGGCTGTGGCCAAGGGGGAGCCTGAGGAGCCCTTAGGGGCAGTGGGCTGGCCAAGCACCATGCATCCCCTCCTCATTTGCCACAACAAAAACATTCTCTAAGCACTCACCAGGGGCCAGGCCCTGGGGAGCAACCATAAAAAAGAAACGGCCTCCACCCTCACTGAATTTATAGTCTGGAGAAAGTGGGGTATGGAACAGACAAACTGACAGGCAGTTACAACATAGGCTGTCTGCTAAGCCTGTGGGGTAAGACAGGTTCCCCAGACCCCCGAGGGGAGCCTGCGCCAGCCTGTAGATGGGTGCCCATGAGCATGGGTGTCTCCTGACAGCAGTGGCTGGAGGGGCCACATAAGGACATAGGATGCACACACAGGCTGCATGAGGCTGAGGACGGGGTACTGCAGGCTCATGGCCCTTCCCTTCCATGTGGCATCCTTGATGAACACCACAGATATGCCGAGGAAAACAGGAAAATTCCACAGGCTCCTGGAGGAGCCAAATGTGAGAAAGTACTGGGAAGCCGTTGTGCAGACTCCAGGCTGCACACAAAACTCTAGTCCTCACTGCATGCACTGCCAGAGACAGGATGCCTCACACACACCTGCACATGCACGCACGTGCATATATACACACATGTATGCACACACACGCGTGAGCACACCCTGCTTCATATTCTTCTTCCATCACAAGACCCTTCAGATTACTTGGGAAGTGGCTTAGCCATGAGCCACCATGTCTCAGAGAAACCCACCGCAATCCCCACCAAAACCCCAGAGCTGGGACACAAGCTGGCAGACACTGCTGGGAACATGTGCCAAAAAGAGAATCAACAGCCGCCTTCAGGGGACTATGCAATCCCACAGCATTACCCAGGAACGCCAAGTGCCAGACTTGCAGTGCTCGCCCCAATTTTAAAGCAGCCAATCAGGAGAGTTACAGCAACACCCTGACACAAGATGCCCTTCACTGGTGGGAAAACTCTAGGTACTTGCAAGAGGCTTCTGAGCCCCAGGGCACTTGTTAGAATGGAGCCCAGTGGAGACAATGGCTACGGTGGGGCCACATTTCCAGGGACTCAGGGAAAAGTCAGAGGGCTGTGACAGGGTTCCACCTGACAGTTTCTTTAAATCAGGTCATTCCATTCAAAAATCAAAAATTTATTCTAAATTTTTGAGGGACCTCAGAAAGTCATCCTGAAGCACATACTGATTCTCAAGAAGGGAACCTGATGCATTTTCTACAAAGTATCATTCAGTTTTCCCTCTGGAAAAGAAACATCTTGGGTCACATGCTCTCAAGCGACCTGGGCGCAGGTAAACTCTGGTGTCTGGGCTCAGACACGCCTGGCTCCCACCAGGCCCAATAAAGGGAGTTCTGTCAGCACACAGTTTACCAGTCAGTTGTTCCTTTGTGAAAAACTGAGCGATCACCTTATTTTTGCTGGAATTTTCCACACTGGGCTCCAGATTCTTCAGGATTTCTCCATAGAGGTTACACAACACCGGAGTTTTTCCTCAGTTATGCTGCGGTAGGTGGCAGGGTTGAGTTTAGGTAACATGTAATATTCGAGGTGTGGTGTGAGATGAAGTAGGCAAAATCAAGCAGAGTGTGATCAGAATGGGAGGCCCCCGCCCGCATACTGGTGTGGGGCTGTGGCCCCGATCCCAGCCTGTGGGGGTCCAGGCAGGCGTCACTCCACCCACCCAAGAGGCACTTACGCTCTCCCTCCTGTACACTGTGCGGATGCAGCTGAGGGTATTCCTGTAGCCGACACCGGCCTGCAGGCGAGTCTGTGGAGAGAGGAAAGGGCATGTGCCAGCTCAGAGATCATTCATAGCCCCACTGCTCCAAAGATGCCCAGAGAGAAAGGCCCTGCTCATAGTGAAGCCTGCCAGTAAAGGGTCTGGGTTTCAGTTCTGGCCAGTCTGGTGCTCCATCCCCGGCTTGCACCGCCTCCCTCTAATGTCCCTTTCAGACTCGCTCAATGCAGAGAAGCCCGCTTTGCTGAGAGAATGGCAAAGGCCAGCTAGTTGTGCCGAATCACCGTATGATCCCCACCTCTTGAGTACACAAAGCTAAACTGGAACTCTATCTCCACCCTGCAAAATAGCTTTGGGGGAGACCTGCTCTTCTTGCCCCTAGAAACACCACCCCATGGCCTGAAGCTCTCCTCAGCCTCCTGCTTCTCTGCCACTTCCTCCATTTCTCTCTATGCAACAGGCAGACTGATCTTTTTCAAGGTCAATGAAGCTTCCAGTGGCCTCCCATCAAATGTAGGAGACATTCCTCACTCTCCCTGAGCCTGGGAGGCTCCTGCCTCTCACCCCATGTGCCATCTCCTCCCCCAGACCCCTGCATAAGCTGCATGTCCCCAGACCCTGGAGCCACAATTCTTTCCTGCCTCCAGCCCACTGCCCCTTCTGTTCCCAACTTCTGGAAGGCTCATCCTCCAGGTCCTGCTCATCTTTTAGGACTAAATGGATATGTCGCTATGGTCCTACGTGTTTGATTACATAGGGTTTATGCTGTATCACCCAACTAGGGTAGAAACACCTGTCTTATTTTCCTCTCATCTCCAGAGCAGGGCACAGCCCCAGCACAGTGGCCCCTTTGCACTGACTGAACAAAGGCTGCATGGCTAAGGTATGGTGGCCTCTGATGAAGGCTGGCGTTGGTGACCAGGGGCAGCAGCGGACAGACACAGAGGGTCTGAGTAAGCCCACCTAAGTGTCTAGAGTACCCCTGCCCTGGCCTCAAAGGATTCCACTTCTTTTAACATGTACAGCCTATAATTTTCCACCAAAACACTTTGTCAGCATGCACAGCATGCCATGTCTGTGCATGAAGGAGCCGTGAGATGACCAAGGAGGAGAAACTGGCCCGTCCCCACAGAATCCAGTATGCAGCAAGGGACTGAGACCCAGAAAATCAGGCTAGCTCCTCACACAAACCGCCTGAGCTCAGCTCTGGAGTCAAGTGGAGGAGGCCCGGGAAGAGTACGTAGAGTTAAAATGGTGATCTCAGAGGTGAACACCACAGGCGATGTGGAGCTTTTCTGCATTTTCCAACTTTCCTGCAATAGCAGATGTTACTTTCATTATTTTTAGCTTACATAGTTTAAAACTAATGTAAAGTACGCAACTCATAGCGAAATACATTCTCTCAATGACATCAAAATTAGCATCACATGTAAGGCTAAAGCCTCATTGGACCCACCTTTGCTCTCACCCTGCTCCTCCCCTGAGTTCATGATCATGGCTAATAGCATGGCCAAGTGTTTGAGAAGCACCCATTTAAATAGTTTTATAAACATATGTAGCCAAAGGAAAAATATAGGAAATATTATCACCCTGCTCATAAGTTTTACTTTCAAAACCAGAGAAATGTGTTTATCGACTCACTCAACCAGTATTTGTTCGGGGCCTATTTTATTGGAGGCACCATTCCAATCTCAGAGAATTTGGCAATAAAGAAACAAGTCTCTGCCCTCATGGAACAGAGGTGACTTCTGGTGAAGTCAGAAAAGATGGTCAATAAAAAATAATTCCAAAGTAAATACGTATTTTAGATGAAGACAAGTGCTATGGAAGAAAACCAAGGATAAGAAGAGCTGGGTGATGAGAAGGAAAGGGTAGCTTTAAACTGAGTGATGGAGACTCCCTGGAAGATGCAGTGAGATGAGAACCTGGCCTTCAAGGTCTTCTTGTTAAGCAGAACCACAGAGGCCTACCTTGGAGTGGAATGTCCACAACTAGGACAATGACTTGGGCCAGGTGGTAACTTAGGGGGTGGTGGAGGGGTGCAGGTCTCTCTCTGTGCCCCATGTAAGGCTGACATGAGGTCCAGCACTCTCCCAGGGCTCTCCCTGGAAAGTGAATCCACAGAATGGTTGACTGCCACCCCACCCCCTGCAACAAGTAATCAAGTTCCCACTAAGAAAATTGAGAGGTTGAGTCCCTCAAGCCAATAATACATGAAGGAACTCAACCCAAGAGCCAAACCTGGATCACAGAATAATTTCAAAGCCATGGAGCCAAAAGTCTGTCAGGCATGCTGAGCACTCGGGGAGGCTGGCACTGAGGCCAGCAGCAAATTCCAAGTCTCTAGGGACCCAGTGACAGCAGGAGATGACATTTAGTGTGCACCAACTGCATACTGGCCATCATATAAAACTGATCCCACGAAATTGCACAGGTGCTCTAAGGCACAAGTACTGGTCCCATCTTACAGATGAACACAGCTGACTCTTTGCATTAGCTTCATGTTGCTACTTAACAAATTACCACAAACTCCATGGTTTAAAGCAGCCTGAGGCTGGGTGCAGTGGCTCACGCCTATAATCCCAGCACTTTGGGAGGCCGAGGCGGGTGGATCACGAGGTCAAGAGATCGAGACCATCCTGGTCACCGAGGTGAAACCCCATCTCTACTAAAAAACACAAAAATTAGCTGGGCATGGTGGTGTGCACCTGTAGTCCCAGCTACTTGGGAGGCTGAGGCAGGAGAATTGCTTGAACCCAGAAGGCAGAGGCTGCGGTGAGCCGAGATCGTGCCATTGCACTCCAGTCTGGGTAATAACAGCGAAACTTCGTCTCAAAAAAAAAAAAAAAAAAAAAAAAGCAGCATGAATGCATTTTCTCACAGTTCTAAGACCAGAAATCTGAAATGGTCTCAGTGGACTAAGACCAGGGTGCTGGCAGGGCAGCCCTCTCTTGGGAGGCTCTCAGGAAAAATCTGTTTCCTTGTCTCCCCCAGCTTTTGGAGTTCACCCTCCTTCCTGGAGCCATGTCCCAGCATCACAGCTCCTCTTCTTTCCCTGCTTCTGTTATCGTCACATTGTTTGCTTCCTCTTCTATAAGAAGAAATTGAAATCTCCCTCCACCTCCCTGTTATAAGGACACTTGAAATTACATTTAAGAACCTCCCTGATAATCCAGGATCATCCTCCCATCTCGAGATCCTTAACTTAATCATACCTGCAAAGTTTTCTTTTGCCATATGAGATGACATTCACAGGTTCCAGAGATGAGGACATGGGCACATCTGGGGACCATTATCCAGTCAACCACACTGCCTCACACAGTTTCCCCAGGAATCTGGCTCCCTCCATTGGCTCATCCCCAGGCCTTTCACTCTACAGGACCCCAGAGGCTGCTATTCTCACCAACCTCTAGCCTACTGAGACCAAAAGAAGTCCAGCCCAAGCTCTTGACTAGGTGTGACTTCCCTGAGAGTTGAGTTACCTCAGGGACATAGGGTTAGGTATATAATAGGTGCTCAATAAATACCTATGAAAGGCAAGAGAGAAGAGAGCTTGGTTCCTTAGCCCAACTTCAGTGTTTTTAGTTATTAGGGAAAATATCTCCATATTTGAGGTGCCCAGAGCCCTCATTTTGGACCTAGAGAATTGATGGGTTTGCCATTATCTTTCTCACCTTTCCTAGTTATGTAGAATCAAGGCCATTTTAAGACTTTCTTAGATATTGGACTCTTTCACTTTTGTAAACCTGCTCATATTGTATCAAGCAAGATAAAATTAGTATAATTATACGTATTTAATGTACATCCCATATTAATATCATCCACATAGACCTCCATGAAAGTTGAGTTCCATTTGACTATTTAACATGTAGTTATATTTTGTAAACATTTAGTGCAGCATTAATTTTGATTCTATACTTTTCTTCTTACATAGCATTTTCTCAGTTCTCTGACACTTTCTTTGGTCCTTACAGAGATCGGGAGCCCTGTGTTCTGTGCATGAAGCGGATACAGCTTGAAGATCATGGCACTGCAGGCAATATTTAGCCCAAAACTATGAGCTTCATGTCAGGAGTGCTATGAGCTCATATGCCTCCAGTTCATGGTTTCCCTCCCATTGGAAGCTCTCAGGGCCCCAGAGGTGAAAACCCAAGGAGAAGAGGATGAGTGTTCAGTGTCAGGAGGTGAGGTAGCTGGAGCCTCAGTGCTTGGAGCTAAGCCACTGCCCAACTGGCCCTGACCTGGCAGAGCAGGCCGTGCCCTAGCTGTCCTGGGCCAACATGCATGCCCCAGACTGGAGTGGGTAGTGAGGGGGCAGCCTGGAGTGGTGGGGAGCATGATGAAGAAATACAAGAAGCCTCAATGGGATGTTCATGAGAAGGAGGCAGACATCCCCCCCACACATAAAGCCTGTCCATTGCAGTCCAGACCCCATGGTCTACAAGAGTGGTTCCCAACCTTTTTGGTACTAGGGACCAGTTTTGTGGAAGACAATTTTTCCATGGTCCAGGGTGGGCTGATGGTTTCAAGATGAAACTGTTCCACCTCAGATCATCAGGCATTAGATTCTCATAAAGAACAGGCAACCTAGATTCCATGCATGCAGTTCATAATAGGGTTTATGTTCCTACGAGAATCTAATGCTGCCACTGATCTGACAGGAGGCAGAGCTCAGGCAGGAATGCTTGCTTGCCCACCACTTACCTCCTGCTGCATGGCCCAGTTCCTAACAGGCCACAGACTGATACTGGTCCATGGTATAGGGGCTGGGGACGCCTGGTTTACAGGCAGCCAAGCCCTGACTAGAAAACTTAGCCATGCTGCATCAGACATTTGCAGCAGACCTGCCTCCTTAACCTAAGAGCAGGCAGCCAAGGGCACAGGAAGAAGCCTTTGACCTGAGTCAGCAGCACAGGCCCTTGTAGCTGGATTCTTCCACAGGTGAGTCCTGGGACTCCAGGCAATTCACTGTCTGCCTCCTGCAGCCCAGCCTGTCTATTCACGATAGCAGCAGCATCTCGCTCATTGCTATATCCTCAATGCAATGCCTCTGTGAACGCTCTTCACAGCAGCCCTACCAGGGAGGTGCTACTTGCCCACTTTACAGACAAGGAAACCAAGGCTCAGGAAGGTTAAGCGCTCTGCCCCAGTCACAGGAGAGTAGGTGATAAGGCCAGGACAGGATTTCCAGTTATTCAGACTTGCCTGGCCCTTTCTTAGTGGACAGGGTCTACAGAGAAAACATCAGCCAGAAGGAAGGAAGAGGGTGTTCTGGAGTGCCACAGGGGCACTCAGGCCAAACAGACTGGAATCCATGTCTCAGGAGGGCTTCCCTCCCGAGCTTCAGGGCACAGTGTAGAGAAGGGAGACAGCCCAGACTTTTCAGGTGACTGTGGCCAGGGAGCTCCACTCCCATAAACTGCCCTAAACCCAATGACTAGAGTCCTTAGGAAGGATGGGGAGATTTAACACACAGAGACTCAGAGGGGAGGCCTTGCGAAGATAGGCAGGGCCTGGAGTTAAGGAGCCACTGTCCAAGGAATGCCAAGCACTGCAGCTGGCACTGGAAGCTGGCACAGGACCATGTGGCAGGTCCTCCCTCAACGCCTCCAGAAGGCACCAATACCTCAGTTTTGGACTTCCTGCTCCCTGACCTATGAGGAAATAAATTTCTATTGTTTTCAGCCACCCAGTTTGTGGATATTTGTTAAATCAGACCAAGGAAACTAATCCATACTCTCAAATTTTTACTGTTAAATCTCTCACTCTCCACAGTGATTTGTTACCAACTCACTTATATGAAGTCAGCCTGGGTTCTAGAGAAACAGCAGCCCTTTTCCTTGCCAAGATGCTAGGCCTGTGGCGGATAGTTCCAAGATCAGTGACTGAGCACGCCACTCAGAGCACGCCACTTGCCCATCTTTGAGGTATCCCATTGACCCCCAAGAGAAATGTATAAATATCATTTAAATCAGAGAATTGGAAACACATTCTCCAATTTTGGTTAAAATCTTGCTAGACATTGTCTCATGATGTGGTAACTGAGCAAAACTTAATATATATAGAATGATAGTAATTAAAATAGCGACTATTGGCTGGGAGCGGTGGCTCATGCCTGTAATCCCAGCACTTTGGGAGGCCAAGGCAGGCAGATCATGAGGTCAGGAGATCGAGATCATCCTGGCCAACATGGTGAAACCCTGTCTCTATTAAAAATACAAAACAATTAACTGGGCATGGTGGTGCACACCTGTAGTCCCAGCTACTATGGAGGCTGAGGCAGGAGAACTGCTTGAACCCAGGAGGTGAAGGTTGCAGTGAGCTGAGATCACGCCACTGTACTACAGCCTGGGGGACAGTGTGAGACTCTATCTCAAAAAAAAAAAAAAAAGCAGCTACCAATTTGGAATGCCAACTGGGTACCAAAAACAATGCTTATAATCTTATACTGACCCTGTAAGGCAAGAATTCATATCTTGCTTAATAGAAAGCTATGCAAGCAGGAAATGGCAAAAACAGGATTCACACCCAGAGCCTGCGTGGTTCCAAAGCCCATGCTTTCTGGCTCGACCATGCTGCCTCCCCACTGATCCATTGTTGTGGACGGGTTTGTTGAATGAGCCCTGGGAAAGACAGTCTGGGAATGACAGGTGAGTTTGGGAGGTGAAAAATGCCAGAAACAATCAGCACTCTCATGGAGACATTAGGGAGTACATCCGAGTCTTCCAAGTCTCCCTAAGGCCCAGTCCTGAAGACTGGGCACCTTGAACTTGGCTGAGGTCTGGGATGGCAACTCATTCAGCAGGTGCTCACCCAGGGGGGCTGTGCCCAGCTCTGTACTGAGCTGCAGTCTGAATAGGGGAGAGTCAGAGGCCACAGGCTAGGGAAGCCAGGCCTGGGCAAGGTAACCAGCCAGCTCTCATGGTGGGGAAAGAGGACTCAGTAGGCAGCTACCACAGGGGCAGGAAAGTTTCTGAGGACCTGGCTTGGTTCTGGACAGCCCTGGGGAGTGGTAGACATGGGCCCTACCTCTGGGCAGCAATGGCTCAGCCTTGAGATGCTGGTAAATCCACTTCTGACATGAACTTGCTGCACAGCCCTCCTTGGTGGGCTCAAAGACCCAGGGCCTGGGTATGCAGGGCTGGCAGGAGGCAGGCAGCAAGGCCCCCAGCCTACTCTGAAATCCCATTCTCCCTGGGCTTCTCCCAGCACCTGCACCACCCCACTTGCTCAGCTTACTATGTGCACCACACATACACTGGCCTTGTTTTCCTGGAGAATGTATATTGCAGCCTGTTCCTAGCCTTGGGCGCTTGTACTGGCTCGTTTCTCTGTGAGCAGCACTCTGACCCCAGTTCTGCGTGTCTGGATCTTTGTGTCATTTGAGTCTCAACTTAGCTGCCTCCCTGGCAGAGAGGTCATCCATGACTTCAAAATAGGGAAGCCCCTCATCACTGTTTCTGCCATCACCTTGTGTTATTGTCCCTCTGGCACCCACCACTGTCCATAGATGCTTTATGTATCTGTTGTGTTCTCTAATTATTGTCTATCACTGGCCCTAAAAGTATCTGTCTCCTTGCCTGCCTCCCTCACTCCTGAGTCCTGAAAGCCTAGGTAAGACTGCAAATAAAGTTCACTTTGGAGCTCTGAATCCAGCACTACAATTCCCAGCTCTAAGGTCTGGGGCAGGTTTCTGAACTCTGCACCTTACTCTCGCCTGTATAAAATGGGAAGATTATTATACCATTGGAAGAGGGTAGACTAAACCTGCTTCACTCACTACTTTGTGGGCCCATCTCCCAGCACTGGGTCCTGCCTCCATCCGCCTGTGTTGGGACATCCCCTGGGGACCCTAAACACCCCCCTTTACTACTTAAAGAGTTTCTTCAAATATTTAAAATAGGTAGACTGATAAAGAAGAGAGTGAGCATGAGCCCTGACCCAGGAGAGGGTCCATTTTCATACAGGGAGGAAGATGGGAGAATAGACATTGCAGCAGCCATTTGAAAGGACCTGTGAGGCTCCTGTCTGTGCACAATCCAGGCAGAGCTTTAGAAACAGATCTGGAAGCCAGTCAGCAGTGAGGAGGCACAATTTATGGCTCTGTTCCCAGAGCATAGCTCTAAGTCCTGCTCACCACAGGGAATGGGTGCAGGAGTGGGGATAGGGTGAAAGATTGCTCCTTTGCAGCATCTCACACCTCTGTTTTTAACTTGTTGTTTGATCTGAGACTAGCCCCTTCCCCTTCTAGGGAAAATCCCAGAACAAGGGTGTTGCATAATCCCAATATCAGGAAGGCCCCACCAGCCCCAAAGTCCTCACACCCATGTGTTTCATCAGGTAATGATGAGTTCCCATCTCCAACCTACTTTAAAGTCCCACCTGGACCTCTGAGTCTTCTGAGTCCAACCCAGGCCTCCTGGCACTCCAGCCCCCTGGGCTGTCAGCAGAGAGCCTGCCCTGGACAGAAGACTCTATGGGAAATCAGAAACAGCAGGAATAGTCCCAGAGGCAGATCAGCTCCATGCCTCTTTTTAAGAGGTAATGGGAAACATGGCTACTGTACCTTGACTGTGTCCAGAGGGTGGCCGACGATGACGCTGGCTGCACCTGTGGATTACAAAAGAACGTCTGATAACTCAGCCCTGGAACTCCCAGCTTGCACCAGCCGGTTCTTGGGACAAAACAGGCACTTACTTAGTCAATAGCCAGTTGCTGGAGTTGCAGGGGGTGGGGGTGGGGGCCTCCAATGTGCTAGGCACTGGCCCATGCAGGAAGGAAGGCAGAGAAAATAGAGTAAAACAACTAATCACTCCAAAAAAGGTGTCTATCACTGCCCTAAAAATATCTGTCTCCTTGCCTGACTCCCTCACTCCTGAGTCTTCAAAGTCTAGGTGAGCCTGAAAGTAAAGTTCACTTTGGAGCTGATGGAAGGGACTAGGACAAGTGGATAGTCACAGGCAAAAGAGTGGAAGAGTGGAGATAGACCCCCCCACCTCACACCATATACAAAATTAACTCCAAATAGATCAAAGACCTAAATGGGAGAGCAAAACTATAAAACGCTTAGACTAAAACATAGAAAACAATCTTGACCTGTGATTTGCAATGGACTCTTAGATATAATAGCAACAGTACAACCAACCAATAGAGGGAAGTACATGTCATGCCAAAATACAGCAGATACGTGGATTATTTCAAGTTGAAAATATTGAGAAATCATAATTTCTGAAAGACTGAGCTGACCTGTCTCTTCCTGCATGCAGCAAGCAATTGAGATTCCTCTGGGAGCAGTACTCTCTCCATACCAGGGTAGCAAAATAGGCTTTATTACCAGGGATTTGGAATTGAAGGCTGCGGTGGACCTGATTCTATACATAATGAAGTAATCCTTATCCTCCACCTGCTTTACAGCCCCCCCATACATCTCCTAGTGACTCCTCTAGCAAACTTCTACCACCCTGGCCAGATTTTCTTTGTCCTGTCATTTCTTCTTAAATTGATTATTCTTTGTCTAAAAAGTATGAAAAGATCTTGCTTTGGACACTTCTCCCAACTTCACTCCTTGTGAAGATCACTATGTCATGAAAAACTAATAAAATCTGTATTCTTTTTCTCTTGTTAATCAGCCTGGTGTCAATTTGTTTTCTATATTCAGCTGAAGAGCCTAGTAAGAGCTACACAGGGGGGTGGAGGTTATTTCTAACTCCCCTACACAACACAAGAATAACACTGAACTTCATAAAATTTGAAAACTTTTGTGTACAAAAGGGAAGACATCCTACAGAATGGGAGAAAATGTGTGGAAATCATATATTTGATAAGGATTTAGTATCCATATATATAAAGAACTCTTACAACTGAATAAAATAATTTTAATGGGCAAAGGACTTGCACACACATTTCTCCAATGATGATATAAAGATAATCCACAGATACATGAATAGATGCTCAACTTCTGCATTCATTTGGGAAATGCAAATTAAACCACAATGAGAGTCCTCTTCACACGCACTAGGATAGCTATAATTGAAAAAAATGGAAAAGAACTGTTGGCAAGGATATAGAGAAATTGGAACGGTTATACATTGCTGTTAGAAATGTAAAATGCTGCAGCCATGATGGAAACAGTTTGGCAATTCCTCAAAAAAAGTTAAACATAGAGTTAACAGTTCCATTCCTACATACATATCCAAGAATAGAAAACAGATACTCAAACAAGTACATTGCACACACATCATGGCAACATTGTTCACAATAGCCAAAAGGTGGAAATAATCCAAATGCCCATCAGCTGATGTATGGATAAACAAAATGTGGGATATTTATACAGAGGAATACTGCTTAGCAATACAAAGAAACAAACTATTGGTACATGCTGCAGCATGGATGCACCTCCAAAACATTATGCTAAATTAGAAAGGCCAGACGTGAAAGGCAAGCTACTGTATGGCTCTACTTATATGAATTATCCAGGATAGGTAAATCCATAAAGACAGAAAGTAAATTAATGTTTGCCAGGACTGGGAGGAGGTGGAAATGGGAGTTGCTCTTTAATGGGTACAGCATCTTCTTTCGTCATGAGAAAAATGTTTCGGAACTAGATAGAAGTGATGGTTGCACAGTGTTGTGAATGTACTCAATGCCACTGAATTACACACTTTCAAATGGTTAATGTTTTATTACATGAATTTCAGCTCAAAAAGTAGGGTAGGATGTGTGTAAAGAAAAAACCTGAAAATTTTCAGTTACCTGCAGGTTACTTAACTTCTCTATGTCTCACTTTTAGCATGCATACAGTGGGAATAACAACAGCACCTATTTCCTGCTTCCATTGTAAGAATGAAATGCAGCGATGCATAAAAAGTACCTAGCAGAGAGCCTGACACCTATAGGATGCTCAAATATGAGTGATGTCACCATAGAATTTTTTTAAAAGAAGATCCTTTAGGAAAAATTATGAATATACACTGTATCTTTTCACAGAAAAAATATCTACACACACACACACACACTCACACACACACAAGACCTATACAATTTGAAAAGAACCACTGCTGCCCCAAGGCCACTTAGATTAAGAAGCCCTTTTTATTAGTTTGCTGTCACACTGCTATCAAAGACATACCTGAGACTGGGTAACTTATAAAGGAAAGGGGTTTAATTGACTCACAGTTCCACATGGCTGGGAAGGCCATACAATCATGGAAGGTGATGGAGGAGCAAGTTGTGTGTTACATTGCAGCAGGCAAAAAGAGAGCTTGGGGAACACCCCTTTATAAAGCCATCAGATCTCATCAGACTCATTCACTACCACAAGAACAGCACAGGAAAACCTGTCCCCATGATTCAATTACCTCCCCATGATTCAATTACCTCTCACCCATGACACATGGAAATTATGGGAGCTACAATTCCAGATGAGACTTGGGTGAGGACACAGCCAAATTATATCATTCCACTCCTGGCCCCTCCAAAATATCATGTCCTCACATTTCAAAACCAATTGTGCCTTCCCAATGGCCCCCCAAAGTGTTAACTCATTTCAGCAGGAACTTTAAAGTCCACAGTCCAAAGTCTCATCTGATACAAGGCAAGTATCTTCCACTTATAAGCCTGTGAAATCAAAAGCAAGTTAGTTACTTCCTAGAAACAATGAGCGTATAGGCATTGGGTAAATATACCTGTTCCAAATGGGAAAAAATGGTCAAAACAGAGGGGCTACAGCCTCCATGCAAGTCCAAAATCCAGCAGGGCAATCAAATCTTAAAGCACTGAAACAACCCCCTTGACTCCATGTTTCACATCCAGGGCACACTAATGCAAGAGTTGGGTTCCCATGGCCTTGGGCAGCTCCATCCCTGTGACTTTGCAGGGTACAGCCTTCCTACTAACTTCTGGCATGAGTGTCTCCCATGAGTTAGCAAATTCTGTCAGCATAGCCCATCTGCATGACCCATTGCAGAGGAAAGTGCTCTGACAGATCACCATTGGGGAAGGAACTGAGGGAGAAAGAAAACTGGGCTTTTTGTTTCTTAATAAAAAATTATAACTCCCATGAGGCCTGCAATGAGTGTCTGTTGCTTTTCCAGGTGCATGGTGGAAGTGTGAGCAGAGCTACCATTTTGAGGTCTGGAGGATGGTGGCTCTCTTCTCACAGCTCTACTAGGCACTGTCCCAGTGGGGACTCTGTGTGGGGCTCCCACTCCTTATTTCCTTTCCACACTGCCCTAGCAGAGATTCTCCATAATTGCCCCACCCCTGCGGCGAACTTCTGCTTGGACATCCAGACATTCTCTGAAATTTAGATTAAGGTTCCCAAATCTCAATTCTTGATTCTGTGTATGGATAGGCTCAACACCATGTGGAAGCAGAGCTTAGGGCTTACACCCTCTGAAGCCACAGCACAAGCTGTACCTTGATCCCTTTAGCCATGGTTGGAGTATCTAGGACACAGAGCACCAAGTCCCTAGGCTGTAGACAGTAAGGGGGCCCTGGACCCAGCCCAGGAAACCATTTTTTTCCTCCTAGGTCTCTGAGTCTATGATGGGAGGGGCTGTCACCAAGGTCTCTAACATGCCCTAGAGATATTTCCCCACTGTCTTGGTGATTAACATTCGGCTCCTTATTACTTATGCAAATTTCTGCAACAGGCTTGAATTTCTTCCCAGAAAATGGGTTTTTCTTTTCTATTGCAACACTAGGCTGCACATTTTCCAAACTTTTATGCCCTGCTTCCATTTTAAACATAAGTTACAATTCCAAGCCATATCTTTGTGAATACATAAAACTGAATGCTTATAACAGCACCCAAATCACCTCTTGAATGCTTTGTTGCTTAGTAATTTCTTCAGCCTGATACCCTAAATCATCTTTCTCAAGTTCAAAGTTCCATAGATCTCTAGAGCAGGGGCAAAATGCCACCAGTTTCTTTGCTAAAACGTAACAAGAGTCACTTTTATTCCAGTTCCCAACAAGTTCCTCATCTCCATCTGAGTCCACCTCAACCGGGACTTCATTGTCCATATCAGCATTTTGGTCAAAACCATTCCACAAGTGTTTAGGAAGTTCCAAACTTTCCCACATTTTTCTGTCTTCTTCTGAGCCCTCCAAAACGTTCTAACCTCTGTCCGTAACCCAGTTCCAAAGTTGCTTCCACGTTTTCCGGTATCTTTACAGCAACACCCGACTCTACTGGTAACAATTGACTGTATTAATCCATTCTCATGCTGCTAATAAAGACATTATTGAAACTGGGTAATTTATAAAGGAAAGAGATTTAATAGACTCACAGTTCTACATGTCTGGGGAGGCCACACAATAATGATAGAAGGCAAAAGAGGAGTAAAGTCACATCTTACCTGGTGGCAAGCAAAAAGAGAGCTTGTGTGGGAAACTTTTCTTTATAAAGTCATCAGATCACATGAGACATATTCATTACCAGAAGAACAGCATGGGAAAGCCTGCCCTATGATTTAATTACCTCCTATGAGGGATCCCTCCCATGTCACATGGGAATTATGGGAGCTACAATTCAAGATGGAATTTGGGTGGGGAAACAGCCAAACCATATCACCCTTGTAGCAGTTGGTGACTGAAATTGAAACAGAAACTGTTCTTCAAAGACAAATTGAAGAAGGCAATATCTCTGTTAGTAGAGGTGATTTAACCAGGTAAGGTAGCTAAGAGCTCCTGGAATATCAGATATTTATAAGGACAAAGAAACCAGCTAATCCCAGAACAATGATTCACCTTTCCCCTCTCATCCCCTCATACCTACTAAACTGGGCAGGGGCAGAGATGTGATGGCAGTAATTAACCCTTCCCGGTAGAGTAGTGGAAGGGGGAATGCTGGTTCTCAGGCTCCAGGGCTTCCCCCATAGTGAGTGCACACATCCCTCAGCTCAGGGCAGTCTTAGATCCAGCCTTGGGCCAACAACTCTCTGCCACTTATTAGCCCACCCATCTGAAAGCAGGGGATTTGAGATCTTTAAAATGCAATTACCAGGTCAGTGGTTTCCAGATCTTGGCACTTCTCAAACCAGTAAAATCTCAAACAAAGATTGGTGTGTGTATGGTGGGGCGGGGGTGGGGGGAGTGTAAAAAAGGGGCAAAATTTTGTCATGTAAGGTTGTTTGGAGAGTTAAGATAAAATTAAGATGGCAGATTCTGGTGCCAGACGGCCTGGGTTGGAATCCCAGTGCCAATGCCAGATGCATGGTCTTAGGCAAGTCAGTGAATTTCTCTGTATCTCAATTTCCTCATCTGTAAAATAAGGATGCAGCAGAACCTCCCTCATTGGGGTTGTTATAATAATTAAAGAAATATACATGAACTGACACAAGATACCACATGTTGCAAGATTCAATTGGCATAACATATACCAGGAAAGGCAGATTCACATGAAGTAGATTAAGGAGAGGAAACAGCATTTCAATTTCAAATGATGAATCTTACTGGGGCATGAAAATGTTCTAAAACAAATTCATGGTGATGGTTGTACCACTCTGTAAAATTACTAAAAGACATTCAATTGTTGAAAAGGGTGAATTTTATAATATGTAAAATAAACCTCAATAAAATTGTTTTAAAAGAACACATATAGCACTTAAACAATACCTGGCACCTAGTAAATATTAAAGTGTAGTAAATTTTTATCATCATTTAGTATTATTAGGTTGGTGCACAAGTAATTGCGGTTTTTGCCATTACTTCCAATAACATCGCCAAAGTAAGGACAATCGCAGAACAAAGCACAAAAATCTCCTACTTGCTGTGAGCCGGGGAGGGTTCATGTTTTGTCACGTTTGGCGGTTGGGAGAGGTATCAGAGTCTTGGAACTACTTTGACTCAGCCCTACTTTCCAGGGCACTTCTCAAACCAAGCCACCTGCATTCCTACTGAAGGTGGTCTGGTTATTTAAGGGGCAGCCCACGGAAGTGTCTCCTCTCTCTGCCTGCCCCTCTGAATGGTGGAACAACTGCCCAGTCAAAAAAGGCCTGGATATGCCCAGTGGGCCTCAGGCGGGAAACCCCTGACTGGGAAAGTTGGGAGAGACGAGCCTCAGCCCCACCCAAGGGCATCTGTGCCAACAGACTTACTCAAGGTGAAAGGAGGCATCTCTGCTCAGGAAGATGTGAAGCAGGTGCCCTGCAGCCACCTGTGAGGGAGAGAAGTGGCTTCCGGCTAGGTTGGAGGGGAGAAGCTGGGATCCAACCAGGTTTGTCGCTCTTTTCATCTTTTTTTTTTTTTTTTTTTTTAATTTAGGTGAGGAGCTGTATTTGCCAACATCCCTTTTAGGATAAACCTCTTAGCTGGGTTCAAATACACACACACACACACACACACACACACACACACACACACACGTATATACTTTACAATCAAACTTCCCCCTTCCCAATAGCTGATCAAAGAGGGATAGACCTATTGGAAAGAAAAATGGAGAAGTAAGGAAATGAATGTAACTCTGGCCCAGGCAACCCATCGCAGGCCCAGTAAAAAAGTGGCTCCAGGAGCTGTGGTGAAGGGACCAGCAGACCCAGCCGCGGCCGGAGGAGGGGCCTTGGAGGTAGGCGATGGCTGACGGCTGGCGGCGGCTGAAGGCAGTAAGTGTTTCTCGCAGCCTGGCAACAGGCACCTGTAGCAGGCGCTCTGTTCCCTCCAGTCGGGACGCTCCCTAGGGCCGGCCGGATCTCGAAGTCCGGCTCCCCACCACCCTTCGCCCCGGGGTCCGCAGCCAAGAGCCACCTTCAGACATAAGTTCCCTCCAGCCACGTCCGCAATTCAGGTGTGCACCGGGTCACTGAAGGGTGTGTGAGCTGCTAGGAGCCTCCATTGGCTGTCGGCTTTGACTGGCTGTTTAATCATTACCGCATCAGGTCCCACGGATCCTAACTTAATGAGCAAATCAGAAGCTGAGCCTGAATCGCTGTGAAGCTCTCCGAGTTTAGGTCTGGCAATTACCAGCCGGGAGATCGCCCCAAAGCAGGCTGCGCGCGCCCCGGGAAGCGGGATGAGAGCACACAGAGGCACAAAGTATCCTCAGAGCACGGAGGCAAACTCCTCCAGGCTCGCTCTCTCTGTCCGGGGGTTCCCGGTAGGCACACTCACCACCGATCCAGCCCGCCGCAAAGTCTTCCAGCTGGAAGCTGCCCATGGCCGGCGGCGCGCGGCGTCTCGCTCTCCCAGAGCCGGGGCAGTGCCCGCTTTGGGTCAGTGAGGCATGGCCCGTGGACGCGAGCGCGCCTCAAGACGAAAGTCGGAGTCTCGGAGCACACCGCAGCTCCTACTCCAAACCCAGTCCCTGAGACACCGGCTGAGCGGGCTGCCGCGCTCACCTCTCCAAGTGCCGGAGGGCGGCTGACATCACGCCCCCAGTGGACCTTAAAGGCACAGCACTCAGCGCGGATAAGGGTGCGCTCCGCGCGGCTCATCCGAGTCAAACAGCCAAGGGTCATCAAGTGGAATTCTCTCAGTCCTCCCTTCTCCGGGTTATCCTCCTTGCCAACTTCAGAGCCTCAGCGCTTTTGAAGTGAAAGTGCCAGCCGCCCATCCGGAGATGGCTTTTGGTGACTGTGCTCATATCCCCCTGTGCTGTGCTGACAATGCTGATTCCAATCAGCGATGGACTCTCTCCCATGCCAACTCTGGGCAGTGATGCCTTTTTGTTCATCCCAGCCATGTCCTACTCAGTGCCCTGTGCCTACAGCAAGCACCGTCTAACTTTCAGCTACAGCTCTCTAGGGGCCCAGCTCCCTGCCTGGCCCTGGCTCAGCCTACACTGTCCACCCTGGGCCAGCAGAAGGCAGAGGGGTGGTCCTCTCTACCTTAAATTCCCTCTCTGTAGGGAGACCCTACATTCACCCAGGCCCCTGGCCAGAGGTCCATGCCCACTGGAGAAGTGGCCTGCTGTGTGGAGAGGTTTTTGTTTCCATGAGAGTTTCTTTCCTCCCTTCCCAAGAAGAAGACTCGAAGTCCCCCATCATTCTGCTAGTTTCCACAAGGTACTCAGCTGTGGGTCTCAGCCAAGATAGCCCAAGGTTGACAAGAATGGTGAGGAGTATGGTCAGGAGGAAGGGGCCTCTGCTGGGTCTGTTCTTGTCCCACTGGGCATATCCATGTCATGTCATCCAGGTTAACATGCAGCAACAGCCAGCCAGACCTCCTTCTTCCAAAGCAACAAACAGCTTGACCACCGAAGCTTGACCCTACAAAGGGCTGTCCACTGAGGAGTTGGGACTTGGAGGTAGAAGGGAACTTCCTGCAGCAACCAGCCCTCCCCTGCCCTGGCACACAGAGAGTGGACCTGTGTCTGGACAGGACAGCCCGGGATCAAGTCACCGGCCTGGCTGGGGAAATCTTACAAAGTTCCAAGGAGGAGTGGAACCGTCACACCCCATCCCCACGCTTCAGCTTCCTGCTGCACATGGTGACCCACTCAGTCTTGAGGCTTCAGAGTTGCCATCAACATCAACCCCAAGCTGTGCCCTGCCATGCCCGGGATATATGCCTAGGGCCGCTATGAGAAATGCAGGTCTCTGAAGACCGGCCTTTAGTGAGTTCACCACTGGAATGAATCCACAAGTGGAGAGCCTGCCAATTCCCAAGGCCCACTCCTTTGGAAGACCACCTAAGGAGTGCCAGGCAGATTGTCATCCCCTCAGTCCTGTGTCAGCACCAATTAGGGAGGTCTTAAGTTGGCAGGCAGTGTCCCTGGCAGCCCCAGGATGGCCTCCCAAGCCCAGAAAGCTGCTGCTTGAACTGCTAATGAGCTGGAGCAGAGCTGAGGGAGTGGGTCACTTTCCAAATTGAACTACTGCGTTCCATTCCCAAATGCGTGCCACAAACCTGCCCATGGGGTGCATCACCCAGAGAAGTGGGGGGAGGACCCTAGGTTTACCAGCAACCCTGGCCAGGCCTGGAGAATCCCAGATCACAGGGCTGTGAGTCCAAGCTGAATGCTGGCTCTGTGGTGGGGATCTAGGCCCTCCCTTCTTCCTGGCCTTTGCACTTCGGAGCAGCATTTGCAATGCGCTGCCATTCCATTCACATTTGCATTCTACGTGCGGGAGAGGGCAGGGCAGCTACTGGCCATTACACGGGGAAAGAAACTTCACAGAGAGATCCACTCCCTGAATGACTAGGGCCAGAAAGCAACCCATTTCCTTTCTCCCTCATTTCCTCCCCTAGTAGTGACCACTCAGCACTTTCCTCTGCAGCAGGGCATGCAGATGGGCTATGCTGATAGCATTTACTAACTAGTGGTCCACTCCCCATTTTTTATTTACCCTTTCAGGCCGCAGACATTGCCTGAGCACCCAGTCTGTGCTAGTGCCTTGCTTTTGGGAAAGTCTCTGTTTGAGAGGAGACAGTCTGTCTGAGATGCTACACAGAGACGGCTGTAAGAGCAGTGGCGAAGGAGTCCACTGTTCTCCAGGAAGCAATCAGGGAAGGTTCTCCAAACTTGGAGTCTCCTGACTGTACCTTTAGTCTCCACAGCCCCACTGCTCCCATCTCCCCAACCACTCTCTCAGGCAAGCTGAGAGTCCCCTCCCCGTGCCCACCTGCCACACTTGGGCAGCAAAGGCCTGTGCCAGCTGGGCATTCCTGACCTGCTGCGGTGAAGGCGCTGCCCATGCACCTGCTCCTGTCTGCTTCCAGATTCCTGCCCTCACCCAGCTTTCCTCCCGCTTCCCCAGCTGTTCTCATCTTCTTCCCTGGTGCCTTGTCCCCTTCTCATGCTTAGGTGAGGATTCCTTAGGGCCCCCATCTGGACCCTCACCCACCTGTACCTCCCATTTCTCAGCATATAACCCCCACACCTTGCTTCTGAGTCCAGACATCCCCACTTAACACCTCTACCTGGGTGGCTCAGGTCATCTTAGCTCAGCACATCCCTCAATGAACTCTCTCTTCCTCCTCCAGTACCTCTTCAACTTAGAGAAACACACCTCCAGCCAGCGGCTACCCAAACCAGAATCTTAGATGCCATCCTCCCTTTCTCTCTCCCAAGGTCTTATCCCACCAGCCACAAAGTCCTGAGCGTCCATTCCCTCAATGACACCCATCCCTCATTGGCATCTCCGGATGTGGCTCAGCCCAGGCCTGTGCCACTGTGGCACAGTGGACATGGATCACAGTGGACATGGGCCCCTGGGTCCCTCTGCCCAGTCCTGCATCCACCCCCCAGCTGCTGCCCCCGTGAGCTTCTGAAACCTTAAATCTGCTCAGTTTAGTGACCTCCGATGACTTCCCGTGATCTTGAGCATAAATTTCAGTTCTCCAGTGTGGTGTGCATAGCTCTGTGGGACTGGGTCTGGCTGCCCTTCCACTTCTCACCCCAACATCCCACAGTCTGTGCATGTGTGTGACTGCACATGCACTATTCCTCTGCGGGAAACACCCTCTCCCTCCTTCTCCCCTGGCTAACCCCTGCCCCCTTCTTCTTTGAGACTCAGCTCAGCTGTCACCGTCTCCTGAAAGGCCTTCCTCGAAACCTTCATCACCCTGTGCCACACGGGATCTGCTAGCTCTCAGCTGTGTTTCCTGAACATCCTGAGCATATCTGGTTGATAGTCTGTCTTCCTGTCCAGATTGTGAGCCCATTGGGAGCGGGATACTGCCTCGTTCTGCAGTGGATATGCAGAGCCTGATACTGCCTCATTCTGCACTGGACATGCGGAGCCTGGCACAGGCCTGATGGGCAGTCACTGCTCAGTCAGCTGGGCCTTAAACAGGGAGGCATGCGGCAAAGTCTGAAGGGCCTGCCAGTAGCTGGCAGACAAGGAGGTGTCCAGGTTCAAGGCAGAGCTGAAGAGGTGGCCACATCACTCCTGGGTATGAGACCTCCCCTTGGCCTTTCCTGGAGCATCACAGAAACCTGGCTTTTTTCAGGCCCTCAGAGGTACCAGCCACACTTCCCCTGAAGGCTTGTGCACTGATCACTCCCTCTGCCTGCAGCTCCCTCTCCCTGCCCTTCTCAAGGCCAACTCCTACCACCTTCAGATCTATGCCAAAGCATCTTCTGCATGAGGAGGCCTCCCCAGGCCCCTCACAGGAGGCCAAGCCTTTGTTGCCCTCTCTCAAGGCATCCCTGCTTCTTTTTCCAACTCTCATGGTGGCGCTTGGCCCTTGTGCAATGCTTGGTTGCTCCAGGAAGAAAGATAGGACCCACCTGACCTGTGTGCCACCATGTCATTCTCAGGATCTGCCACAGAGCAGATGGACAGCAATTAGGACTGAATGCGAAGGATTAATGAAACACGACCGCAGGCTTGTGCTGTCTTTCTTCGTTGAGGGTTTGCCCCTGTTGCATCATTCCTGCACTGGCCTTGGACAACGGGAGCTCTGAGCTCCCTCCCCAACTCTGATGGGAAGGAAAAGGAGCACACGTGATTTTCGAGCTTCTAACTGGGAGCAGGATTTCTTCCTCTGTTGGCGGCACTTTGAGAAAGTATGTGCAGAGCATGCACAGACTGAGTATGGCCCATCACCTGTTCAGTTTGAGGCTGGCAGTCAAGAAACAGAGGCAAGTGGCTGCGAAGTGAGGGGTGAAGCAGCTGGCAGGAAGGCTGGGCTGCCTGGGCTCTGGTCCCAGTGCTGCTACTGCCTCACTGGGCGTCTTGAGAAAGTCCAGGCCTCAATTCTCCCCCTATCTTTTGGAAGGTAAGGATTATCCCCTCTTAGATGGTGTCCTGGGAAGTCTGAAATTCTGGGCTACAGAGGTATCAGCTGTGGACGTCTCATCAAGCTGCGCCAGGAGAGGGCGCTGCTGCACAGCAGTTGAGGCTCTCGGGCCGCGAAGACAAGCGTGGCTGCCCACTCTGGATAGTTTCCTGGCCGGTTTCCCTGGCACTGGCTGGCAGAGAGCCACACTCAGTATATATGCGGGCCATGGAGGGGATGCTGGCCCAGGAGGCTCAGAGAAGAGTCTGAGGTGCCAGAGCAAACCTCCGAGAGGCTCGATGAGAATCCATCAGAGGTGTTTGAGCGCTGTGTGCTTGGACGGGAGGTGACACCCCAATCTCTTCACCCGTGTAGGTCTATGGAAGCCTCGAATGTCCCAGGTTTTCTTACACCTCAGGGCTCCAAGCTGGCCCAGTGCTGTATGCTGTGTTTACAACATCTTGTTGAATTTCAAGCCAAGTCCCCACTGAGTAGGTGAGAAGAATGAGGCCCAGGGAGGTCAAGTGGTTTCTCCAAAGCCACGCAGTGGTCAGTGGAGGATTACAGTCACACCTGCTGTTTAACTCCAGGGCCCATGCTATTAAACGAGTGCTGCCTCCTGGCCAGGACTCAGAGAGTAGAGTGACTTTTCCAAGGACCCTTGCCCCCAACCCCACCCCTCTGCATAAATGTCCTAACTTCTCTGCCTCAGTTTCCCCACCATCACTGAGATGGTATTAACACTGTCCGACGGTATCACATTCATAGGACTCCTGCAACAGTTGAATCGGGGGAAAGCATCCCTTCCCCCAATACCATCCCAGTGCCCTGGGCTGCCCTCCATCCTTTCCTCCCTGAGAGGGTCCTGTGAACTTGGGTCCATAGAACTGTGAAATTCCAGGCTACAGTGATATCAGCTTGAAAATCAGGTGTGCTCCTTTTCCTTCCCATCAGAGTTAACCCATGGGTCGAGGCTGGCTCTTGTGGACATCTGAGAACAGGAAATGCTGCTGTTTGCCTGAGTGAAGGCCAGGCAGGTCAGGGGACCAGGTAGCCCAGGTTGGAGAGCTTTGGCATCAAGGGGTTCCTGCGGGAGTATAGAAGGAGGCACTGCTGCTGAAAGCCAGGCTGAGCACCTGCTATATGCTAAACTTCCTGGGACTCGGAGGAGCTTGGGTGCTGACAGTGACAGAAGAGTCGGTGAGGACCGTTTACTCACTCTTCTGCCATGCGGTGGTCTCCTCTGTCATGCACTCATCAAACATCAGCTGCCGGGCTGGGGGAGACCCAGAAACCTCACATCAGACCTGACCTCAAATAGAGTCCCAGAAGGGCTATTGGAAATTTGGGGGGCAGACCCAGAAGTCTTGGGAAGGAGCAGCATTTGAGCTGGAACTAAAAAGACAAGCTCAGTTGTGAGAGTGGAGAAGGACACGGAGGCAGAGGGGTACTCAGCCTGGGCTACCAGGTCCACTGACATGCCTGGCCTCACTTAGGTGGACAGCAGCATGTCCTGTTCTCAGATGTCCACAGAGCCAGCCTTGACTCTCAGGTTGACTTTGATGGGAAGGAAAAGGAGCACATCCGAGCGGCACCAGGTGGGAGAACGCAAGGGGAGTCAGGAAGAGTTTTGTACGCCCAAAGCCCCCATGGCTATGGGAGGGGAGGCTGGAAGTCTTGGAGCCTGGCTCCTGAGGACCCTGAATGGCAAGGGAAAAGCGAGGCCATGATTCTGTGGGCAGTGGAGTCTGTAGGCTGGCAGCAGTCCTCAGTCCTGCTGCTGCTCTGCCAGTGGATGAAAGGCCCATCTCTGGGGCCGGCTGCATCTGACCTGGATGAACCTCCATAGCCCATGCGGAGGCTGGCTCAGGCTGCTTGCAACCAGCATTTGTTCTCTGCAGGAACCTAGTGGTCTTGCCCGGGGGAAGTTGAAGCCTGTGCCTATCCAGACCCTCAGAAGGGCTGTGATCCCCCTCAACACACCACCTGAGAACAGGCAGTTCAGCCTCCCCAGCAGGAGCTCACTGGGCCATTTAATCTACTGTGACCAGACATCCTCATCTGTGCGACGGGGGCAATAACTACCTCACTCAAGCTACACTTAACTCACACTTCGTGAGTCAATCATGTCAAGTGCTCAGTGTCATGACGGACACGCAGTAATACCCTCAGCAAGTCAAACCTCGCCATTGTTATGGCCTGTGTGTCCCCAGTGTTCCTGTCTGGGTCAGCACATGGACAGCTCCCAGCCAAGGCCTGTGGGTGGGCCAGAAGCAAATTGCCCTTCCAGCCAAGTCAGCCCCTTATCGGGGATCTTTTCTGCACCAAATCCTTCCTGCAAACCTCCCTCAAGAGAGCTCTGCAGCATAAAAAACCTCCGAGGGTCTCTTCAGCCCCATGAGCAGGGGAGGTTCCTCCAGCTCCCCAAGGGGCTGCTGACAGGCTGCTGCAGGGCTCTTGGCCCTGCTTGGGTTCTGGATGGTGCACCCACAGGAAGAGAAGGGACATGCCTCGGACCCAGCTTGGGCTGCACAAGGAGAGAGTGGCCCTAGTTTCTACCATACACAAAGATACCTCCCGACCCGTCTGTTCCTTTGGGGGTGGTGAGGGCCCACTGATGCCAGCTCTTTGATGAGGCCCAGCCTCAGCCCTGTGAAAAATAAAAAGGAACAGTCCAATGGCCTCACCCCAAGAACAAAGCCAAGGAGTTTTCCTGGCAAGGGTACCTTAATTTCTTGATACTCCTATCGTCCAAACCCCGAATCCCCAAACCCAACAGGAAGTCATAGGAGTGCCTTGGAAATAGTAAAAATTAGATTTTCTAAAAAGAACGTCTTTGTTGTAACTGTAGTGTGACAGATTGATTTCTCTCTCCTTCTCAAGATCCTCATCCTCAGGAAGCAGGTGAGCAGGTGAGGTCATTCCATACACGCAGCCGTCGGGCGGAGGAGCTGGGATCCAGCGGTCAGAGGTGTGCGAGTGTCAAAGCCAGCAAAGACCCCGCACCTGGGAGGAGGCACGAAACCAGTGCCATGGAGCAGGGAGGCTGTGAACGTGGGACGCATCAGTGTGGCTGGTGCCAAAGGAGTTTCAAACAGGAGCCAACATCTAAGTGTCTGGCCTGGAGTGGGCGGGATGAGCATATAGTGTCAACATCCCAGTGTGCTTCAGCCGTGTGCAGGGTGGGCCTGGGGTTAGAGGGTGGGTTGGGGGCCAGAAAACCGGTCCACAGGGTCCAAGGAGGTAGGGCCTAGCAGACACGTGCAGAGTCACCGTCCTCACCTGCTCCACCCAAGGGCAGGGGCGGGGGCAGGGGAAGGAAAGGTGCAGAGGCAATGAGGGAAAAGAGAGGCTTGGATGGGTCTAGGGGAGGCCGGGGTCTGGGGGAGCACCTGGCTCATTTCCTGCTGTGCAGAGACCCACTGAGGAAGAGTGTAGTGAGGAGATGCTGAAGGGCTCAGCCCGAGGTCAGACAGCTGGTGTGAATGCCAGCTCCGCTGTTCCTGGCTGTTTGCTAGCTGTGTGAGCTCAGGCACCCTACTTAACCTCTCTTAGCCTGTTTACTCTGCTGTAGAATGGAGAGGACACCAGTGTCTACACCCAAGGATTGTGTCTCCATAATCCTTGATCTCTATAAGGTGCCTAGTACAAAGTAAATGCTCGATAAATGGAAGCTGCAGGTATTACTCCAAAGCAGCCAATTAGCGCACCAGTTCCAACCTCTACAGTGATATGATTTATTTACAAAACCAGCTTCAGGGTGTCTGCGCCCTTCAGTCCTTCAGGAGGCTCCTGCTCCCTCTGTTTGCACTTAGGACAGGCTACAAAATGAGCGGTCTGAGGTTAGAGTGCTGGGCAAGATGGACACTCCTCTCCTTTGGTGTGGCTGTTCAATTCTCACGTGGCAGTTTTTCCAGCTAGTACAGGAAGGTGGCAGCCTGGGGTGGGATGGGTCTCTTCCTGGGTGTGGAGTGGTTGAACGTGCGGCACAGGCTGAGTTTCTCCCTTCTGCCCCTTGAGGAGAAAGGCAAACCCCAGGCCTGCATAGTGGGACGCCTCATGCTGGCAGGGAGCAGCCTGGTGGGCTGGGAGGGGCTGGGAGAACCTGCCAGGGCTCTTCCCACTGGCTCTGCTGGGCAGGAAGGTAGGATGCCCCCCATCCCTGGTCATGGGCACTAAGAGAGAGAGAATTCAGGCCTGAGGGCTGCAGTCCCAGGCCAGCTCTGGTCCCAGGGCAAACTGACTGACCCACGGGAGCCTCCCCCTAGTCACCTTCATCCCTCGATGGTCAGCAGGTGCCAGGGGTCTGCTCTCCAGTGGCTTCGGCCGCAGTCAGCTCCAGCTTCCCTGTGGTGTGACTGCACCAGGCCTGGGCAGCCCCTAAAGACCCCTGGCTCCCAGATGGGGAGGCAGGAGGCCCAAGGCTAGTGTGTAGCCCCTCCTCAGGGGTTCTGTAGTAAGGCACGAATCCTGAGGCATAAAGGCCATGGTCCCTGGAGAGAGGGGCATCCAGGTCACTGTCATGGGGACACCCTGCCGAGACCTGTAGGACGGGGCAGCAGCCCAGTGAGTGTGAGGACCCAGAGATGAGGTCCGAAGGAACAAGAGGGTCAGCCAGATGCAAGCCCACTTCCAGGTTCAGACCCTGATACCTGGGAGCAGCCTGTGCCTGCAACACCGCAGTGGCAGTCCCAGAAGAGGACAGGCCCATGTCTGCTCTACAGCCTGGGAAGCACTCAGGGATGTCACTCACGCATCCAAGGGCACCCTGCTGGGAGGGGTGTGTCCGGGATTAGAACACACCCACCTCACCTCCTGTCTTTGCAGTCACAGCCACAGTGCCCAGTTGCACGGTGGTGATTAGGAATCTTAAAGGGCACAGACTTTGGGTCAAATCTCGTGTTTGCTACTTGCTAGCTATGTGCCCTTGACCAAGTCACTTAACTTCTCTGAGACTCATTTTCTCATTCGTAAAATGGGAATTATAGTACGGCCTATCTTATAGGATTATTAATAGGATTAAATGAGATGATGCTAATGAAACATTTGTCTGAGAGCCTAGCAAGTCACAAGGACCAAATAAAAGCTTCTGTGAGCTCACCGCCACGCTTGCTACCTTGGGCGCATGGTTGTATGTAATTCTCACAATGGCTCGATTGTTGCTGCTGCTATTCTCTTCTTATAAGGAAACCATGTTCCCCAGCCCATTTTCCTCCATGGTGGTCAAGCTGGGCTTGAACAGGACAGTCTTCCTGGAGTCCCTGTGCTCCCAACCAGTGATACCTTGCTCCAAGAGCCCCAGCAGCCCTGAGAGGGGCCTGTCTAGGGACCTGTTAGAGTCTGGGCCCCAGGACAGAGAGGTTTGAAGGATGTAGGATCTGGTGCTGCTCCCCCCACCCACCCCCATGGCCTCCTCAACTCACAGAACATTCGTCCTTGACTGTTGTCCTGCAGAAGCAGCCAGCCTGTCCCTCGCAGTGGGTGGGTCTTGGGAGCCCCTGTGTGACCATCCAGGAGGGGCCAGGCTGGGCACACTCTCCTCCTCAGAGTGGTAGTAAGGGACCCTGTGTGACCATCCAGGAGGGGCCAGGCTGGGCACACTCTCCTCCTCAGAGCGGTAGTAAGGGAAGAACCCACCAAGCAGTTCTGAGTCCTCCTGGAGTGGTATCTCGGGCTGCAGGACCAACCGCTCCTCTGCTAGGAGGCACCCATAGGTGCGGAAGAAAGGCAGGCACTCCAAGGCTACCTGGGCCCTATGTGAAATGTGGAGGGAGCTTAGAAGTTTCTTGTCCCTTGAACTGGTGGCCTGCTGTTGCCAGGATAGGGACCCTGGGTCATCCTCCTCCAGGAGGCTAGGAGAGGTTGGGGCTCCGGGTTCAGGCTCACAGTTCTTCTGGGACATCTGCGAAGAGAAGGGTGTTCCATCTGGCACTGCACCCTGACTTCCTAGCCACGCCAGCTCTGTTCCAGTCCCTGTCTACATTGCAGGCCGAAAGAGTCTTACAAAGCCCAAACCTGACTGTGGCTCTCTTCTGTGAAAAGACAGCAATGGCCCTCAACCATGGTTAGATTGCTCAAGCGCACAGGTCTTCTTACCATTCCCCAGTCACACCAAGCTTGGCCCTGCCTTAGAGCCTGTGCCAAGATCTGCTCCTGGACTCTCAGCTCAGAAGAGCCTTCCCAGCCCCAACCTCCCCAGGCTCCCTCCTCCAGATCACTTCATCACTGGAATGCTCTACCTGGGCTATGGTCCACCTGCCTTACATGTGGGGTGGTTTGATCTGTGTTGTGTGTCTGGTGCCTCTGGTTCATAACAGGCACTCAGCTCACACTTCAACTACTCTGCTGGCTCTCAACTCACCTCATATTCCCTTCACTCTGTCCACTCCAGCCACAGCCTCTCTTGGTCCATCTCACTTGCCAAGCATCCTCCCACCACAGGGCCTCTGCATGGGTGATGCTCCTGCCCAGATTCTCTTCCTCTCCTTTGTCCTAGGTGGTGACTTCCTCAGCCCTTGCCTAAAGTCACGTCCCTTACATGCCTGGCTTAGTGGCTTCTCCTTCTTCCTGACTGCCGCCACCCTCATACCCCTCACTCGGAGCACCCGTTCCTCTGCTGTGAAACATTCAACTGTGTGGTTTCTTGATTAATATTTCTCATCCTGTTATTTACAAATTCCACTGAGGCAGGACCCATCTGTCTAGTTCACTTCTATGTCCCGAAGGCCTAGAAAAACCCTGGCATATGGTAGACACTAAGTATTGGAAGAAAGCAAAGAAGGGTGGGAAGGAAGGAAAGACATAGACAAAAAGAGAACACCTCGGCCGGGAAGGAAGCCTTTAGCAGACTCCATGGTGATAGGAGGGAGAAGTCACGTCTTGGGGAGAGGATGGGGAAGTGGAATGAGGAATTAATTCCTAGGCCCAAAGGGGATGCATGCTCGGAGTACCTGGTAGTGAAAAGCCAGCTCATTCCCATGTTGCCTGTCAGGCCCAGACCCAGAGCCCATTGGGAACATGGCAGGGGGCTCCTTTGATCCTGAGAAAGCCCCCAGGCCATTCCACTTGTGGTCTCCGGGCTCATGGAAGAACCCACGGTAGCCTAGCCCCCAGCCTTCCTGACTCCCACCCTGGCCTTCCCAACTCCCACCCTAGCCTTTGGGCCTTGAGTCCCCGCCCCGACACATGCTCCTGACATCCATGCTCTCCCCCAACTCCCTGCAGGCAGCCTGACCACTGAGGTCCCATTCCTAAGCCAGACCCCTTGGTAAGTGCCTACTGGCCCATAAACTGCCAGTTTCTGGTGAGCTGGTACCAAGCTCCCTCCTCCAAGTCCCAGAGACCCAATTCGGGGCCATCTTTGCTGAGTCTCTATCACTCCCAAACACTCCGCAGAGCTCTGTGATCCTCTCTGTCGGGTAATCCTTAGGAAGCCCACTGGGATAGACTTGCCTTTCCAACCTCACTGTGCCAAGGAGATGGGACAGGCTACATGGCAATGCCCAAGTCTGACCCAGTCTGAAGCCTGTGCTATGTTCACTGTGAATCGTATGTGGTTGTGTGTCCCCCATAAGACACACATGTTCCGGTCTTAAGCCCTGGCACTCGTGGATGTGATCTTATTTGGAAATGGGATCTTGGCAGATGCAATCGAGTTAAGATGAGGTCACACTGGGTTAGGGTGGGCCCTGAATCCCACGATGTGTCCCTATAAGATGAGGGAAATTTGGACACAGACACACAGGGAGAATGTCACGTGACAATGGAGGAAGCTATTGGAGTGACGCTGTCGCAAGCCAAGGCACATCAAGAATTGCGTCATCACTGGAAGCTAGGAGGGAGCACGGGAAGCAGATTCCCCTGCCAAGCCCCCAGGAAGGAACCAACCTGCCGACACCTTAATTTCAAACTTCTTCCGAACTGCAGGAGAATACATGTGCATTGTTTCAAGCTACCACGTTTGTGTTAATTTGTTCTGGCAGCCCTAGGACACTAACAGGTGCAGGTTTGTGGATGGCTCATTTGTGGGGATAAAGGGATTTGGTACAGGCTTGAGGGCTCTCCCAGCACCACCCGGTGAGTGGGCTGGGGAGACAGGCCCATTGCCATGGATGAGGTTCGCTCTGTGGTGGGGCTCACCTAAGGCCCTACCCCTCCTGCCATCCGGTGGGCGCTGGACAGCACAGACTCTCCCTATGGCGGGCCAGCGGCCCTCCTATACCTGATTCTTTCCTGCCAGGGCCCCGGCTCCACTTCAACAGTGAGTCCTGGACTGAAGGAGGCCAGGTGTCCTCTGAATTCCCCTGGGAGACCTCAGCAAGATGGCACATGCACCATGCCACTCACGGTCTCTAGCGAGCACCACCTCCTGCGTCCTGTTTTTGGGTCAGCAGTAGCACTGTGTCAAGACACGATGAAGCCTAATTGTCAAACTCTGGCTAAAAAGACAGAGCCTCCCTCAGCAGTCCTCTTCCTCTCAGCCTCCTCTTCACCTTGGCAAATCCCCCTCTGCTTGCTGAGAGAAGACATCACCATGAAGTCATAAAGCCTGATGCCAGGTCATTAAAGCCATGAAGTCATAAAGCCAGATGGCTCTGTTGCCATGGAGACTCCACCCAAGCATCCAACACCTGTGATCATCACCTGTCTCTTAATTCATCTTAATCCACATCTCCCCAGGAGACTCAGGGGAAACAAAGAGAATGCAAACATCTTCTGGAATCTGATCAGTTCTTCATGACTGGGGGCCAGTGAGCTCACTAGGGACTTCTGCCCAGAGACTGAGAGTGACTCAGCGCCTCTAGTGGATGGGTCAGGAAGGGCCCCAGGGATTTGTTCCACCAAGCCCAGGGAACTGGGGTGAGGTGCATGGGCTGCTCCTCTCTGGGGTGCCTCAGTCCCCTCGGGGTGTGGCCGAGACAGCATTCTCTGCCCTTGTCACTAGCTTTCAGCTGCCTCTCCTCTGTGGCTCTTCTCCAGTCACTTGCTGGCAGGACACAAGAAGTGGAGCAGTCATGGGAGGGCTGATGATGTGGGACATCTGCTTTCTCCCACAGAGCCACCGTCCCCAGATCCTCCCCCAGGCCTGGTGCTCCTGTCAGCTACCGCCCAGGGCAGTTCCCACGTGGTGTGTCATGTGGTCCTCTCCACAAACCTTCAAGTCAGGAAGTGCACTGTCATGCCATTTTGCAGATTGGAGAGTTGAACCTCAGTGCTGGGACAGGAAGGTGAACCAGCCTGAAAAAGGGGCTCCAGAGTTAGTTTCTAGCCTTAGGGCTTGAGGCAAGAGAGCCTTGAAATGCCACTGAAGGTCACGAGGCTGGGATATCTCCAGGACCTCAGGCTTCCCCAGGACTGGATTCCAAGCCAGGAGTGGCCCAGCTGGGTTCTCCAGGCTCAGCATCTCCAGTTCTCCACATCTCTCTACCCTGTGCCCACAGACCCTACTACTCCTGGGCCCATCTACTCCTAGGTCATTTTCTTTCTTATAGAATTTATTTTTGGCAAGTGGTAATAGATACGCCTCCAACTTTATTTTATATTATGAATAGTCACTTGACCCAACATCATTTAAGAATAAATTATTTATCCCCAACCTGATTTGAAATACCAAAATAGACACATTCTAAATTCTTAACTATTACAAACTCAAGTCCTTTTCTATAATTTATTTTTGTATCCATCTCTTTGTCCCTCTTTGTACCAATACCGTATTATTCTGATCTCTTTCGTTTTAAATAAATTTAATTCATGTTGTATCATCACCATTTAAAAACTCAACTTCATTGAGGGCTAATTTACATATACCATAACATGTACTGTTCATGAATCTATACACCAAATAACGACCTGGAAATTAATACATAGAAATGCCTCTTTTCAGTTAATCCGCTCCCTTGCTTCCCAACCCCAAGCAACCACTGATGTGCTTTTTGATACTAGAGATTCATCTTGCCTGTTCTAGAATAAACGGAATCACACAGCACATGTTCTTTTGTGCCTAGTGAGCTTCTGGTTTTCAGCACTATGTTGTGAACATGCATCCTTTTTGTGGCATAGTTTGCTCCCTTTTATTGAGGAGTAGTATCCTGTTATGTGATGTAACACAATTTGCTTATCCATCTCCTGTGTGTACCAGCTAGTTGTTCCCATTGTAAAGAGTGCTGCCAGAAATACTTACACGTCTTTGAGTAGGTATAGTTTTCATTCCTCTTAGGTAAATAGCTAGGATTTGAGTAGTTTGATCACATGGAAAGTGTATGTTTAACTAAATAAGAAACTGCCAAATTGTTTTCATTTTATGGCATATAAAATGGTACATTCATGGCCGGGCACGGTGGCTCACACCTGTAATCCCAGCACTTTGGGAGTCCGAGGCAAGTGGATCATGAGGTCAAGAGATTGAGACCATCCTGGTCAACATGGTGAAACTCGGTCTCTGCTAAAAAAAAAATACAAAAAATTAGCTGGGCATGGTGGTGTGTGCCTGTAATCCCAGATACTCTGGAGGCTGAGGCAGGAGAATTGCCTGAACCCAGGAGTCGGAGGTTGTGGTGAGCTGAGATTGCGCCATTGCGCTCTAGGCTGGGTAACAAGAGCGAAACTCCATCTCAAAAAAAAAAAGATACATTCATTTTACACTCCCAACAGTAATATGTAAAAGCTTCAGTTTCTTCAGTCTTAATGCCACTTTTTAACTTTTGCCATTCTCGTGGGTGTATAGATAGCATGATGGTTTTCATTCGCATTTTCTTGATGGCTAGTGATGTTGAGCATTTCTTATATGTGTATATTGCCAATTTGTATATTTTCATTTAAGTGTCTACATCTTTCTCCCATTTTAATAACTTGATTGTTATAACTAAAGTACAGTAAGCTATATAGTTTCAAAGTGTAGAATTTGATCAATTTTCACATATGTACACACCTCAGAAACTATTACCATGGTCAGATTAACAAATATTTCTCCCCAGAGTAATATTTGTTAGGTGACAAATACCCCTCACCTACTGTTAGGTGAGGGAGTCACAGCCAGCCAGAGAGTATCACTGGAGGGTGAGAGAAAGACCTGTGGATACCAGCTGTCACATAGCACGAGCCCAGCTCTTGGGAGCATTGAGATGTAAGCTCAGAGTTACACAGTTCCAAATCTTGGGAAGGGGCTTTTCAGACACATTGTTTGCTTTCTGCTCAGATAAGGAATGCATCACTCTGCCAGAGTATGACTTTTTACAGATTATTAAATAAAGCTGTATATATCTCATTGTAAAAATAAAACAAACAAATATTTCTATCAACCCCAAAAATTTCCTCATTCACTCTTATAATCCATCTTCCCCCCATTCCCTTCCCCAGACAACCCCTGATCTTCTGTCACTCTAGATTATTTTACATGTTCTAGCATTTTATATAAATGGAATCAAGCGTTTGCGTTTATGTGATTTCTCTTAGCATAATGCTCTTGAGAGTAATCTCTGCTGTTGCATGAATGAATAGTTTGTTCCTGTTTCATTGAGCACTATTCCACTGCATGGATAGTCCCCTGTTGTTATTCTACCGTATGCAGTGTGTCATTCTTCTCTAGCTGTTTTGAAGATGTTTTTCTTTATCCTTTGTAAGTGGTAGTGGATAAGGTTTTGAGCACTTTATAATGCGTCTAGGCATGGTTTTCATTGACCTTATCTTTTCTGGGGTTTACAGAGCCTCTTAAGTACATTTGCATTTTTAAGTACATTGATTTACGTTTTTCACCACGTTTAGGAAGCTTTAAGTCTTTCTTCGTTTTGTCAAGATTTTTTCTTTTTAGCCTATTTCTGCTCCCCTTCTGGGACTCCAACGTCATGTATGTTAGATTTTTTTAATGTGTTTCCACAGATCTCTGAGGCTCTGCTCATTTATTTCTTAATATTTCCTCTGTGTTCTTCAGATTGCAGAAATAATATGGATCTATCTTTAAGCTCACAGACTCTTTCCTCTTGACATCACCATTCTGCTACTGAAATCATCGAGTGAAATTTTTTAATTTCAGATTTTGTATTTTTCAGTCCTAACATTTTTGTGTTTTTTTTTAATAGTTGCTACTTCTCTATTGAGAACTTATTTTTATTCATGCCAAATGTGTTTTTCTTAACCTCATGGAACATACACATAACAGCATTTTGAAGTCTTTGATGATAATTCCAACACATGGCCCTCCTTGGGATTGATATTTGTCGTCATTTACCTTGAGAAGTAGTCACATTTTTCTGGTTATTTGTACACTGGGTAATTTTAGATTGTCCTAGGCATTTTGAAAATCATTTTATGTAGACTTTGGGTCGGGCACATAATCCTCTGCAGAGAGTTGATGTTTTAGCTTTATCAGACAATCAATTTAGTTAGGTTTGAGTTGCAAGTTCTGTCTTGCCTTTTGTATACAGTGGTACAAATCTCAGTTCTCTAAGCTTTCACTGTATTCATTTGGGTCTGTTTTTTGCACGCATTATTGAACAATTAGGCTAAAAAGAGTACACATGGTTTAAATCTCAGTTTCGTTCTTTCTGAAAGCTTTGCTATGCTGGTTTAGGTCTATCCCACTCAGGCATAACTCAGAAGTTAGGCTGAGACTTGTAAGTATTTATTCACAGAATTAGAGGACTGCTTTTCTGGCTACCCTCCCTCCTGGATGTCCTCATGTTCTGTTTCCTTCCAGAGTCTCTGTCCTGACTCATTTGACCAGAATTACGGGATTTCTTCTACAGTAGCTATCCTTTGCCACCACTGCATTGCTGTTGGGTAATTAGAGTGTGCCCTCTGAGCAAAGCTGAGAGAGAAAGAAACAGAAACAGAGAGAGGGCAGAAAGAAAGAGAGAGAGAGAAAACCTGGGAAACTCTCTCCTGCATGGATCACTGTCTAAATCCAACTAATTTTACCTCTCATCCACAATGTTTTTGTTTACTTTTTAGAGTTCTCTGGTGCTAGTGTTTGCATTTGTGTAGAGTTTTTGGTATAGTAAGTGGGAAGAATGGGCCACAGTGAACTTATGCTATCACACTATGATCTTCATTTTGTCCATTTCTTATAAGATTATTTGTCTTACTGTTGTGTTGTAAGAGCTTTTTGTGTATGCCAAATACAAGTTCATTGTCAGAAATCGGTATTGTGAATGTTTTCTCCCAGGTTGTGCCTTGCCTTTTTATTTTATTAACAAAGTATTTCTAGGAAACAACTGAAATTTTAAATTTTGATGGGTCTAATTTATTTTTTTATTTGTGTTTTTTGTATCCCATCTAAGAAATATTTGCTTGCCATAAGATTGTGAACACGTCTTCTTTTTTGTTTTTCAAGTTCTATAGCTTTAGCTTTTATATTTAGGCCTGTGATTCCATTTGAGTTCATTGATGCTATTTGAGTTGGAGAGCACGATTTATCTATTTTTTCCATTTGGATAGCTGTTGTGCACCACTGGCTGAAAAGACTTTTCTTTCAGAGTCTTTCGAAAGATGCCAGTGTATA